CACTGCAGATGATCGGTCGCTTAGATGTGGCCGGTCTCATGCCCTGCACACGTAACTCTGATCTCTATCGAATGCGAATTGCTGAAAGCGAAGGTGTCATGCAAATCATAAGGTTCGTGTAAAACGCATTCGTGGGATTAAACTACTACTATTATCATAAAGCTTCTGTGGACGCTAATACCCTTGGGAGCATACAAAGAGCTGCTCCCGCAGGACCAGCTTTGCTTTGTCGATCAAGATGAGGACTTATGCCTAAGGGAAGAGTTCCGTGGCGAGTGAACCAATCTCATCATTGCAGTTTTATTCGGAGGTTGCTTATCCAAATTCCGCTTCTCTCCAAAGTCCCCACTCCTCAGGCTTACGTTGATAGCGCCCTTCTACGTTAGATGAAACGCTCTACTTCGGGTTGCTCGCGAACCGGGATATTCGCAAGCGGTGTTTCTCGCTGGATCATTGAGCCTATGAGGCGGGCATGGAGTAGTGGCAAGTGGCACTGTGATCGCTCGGTCCGGGTTCAAATCCCGGGTCGACTCCCGCCCAGGCCAACCAAGCCTTCTACCCTCCGGGACGGTGAATTGGTACCAGATTCGTCTGGAAGGATAAGAACACTGACCTGTACATCGTCCCTGCAAGTCATTGTATAGGCCACAATAAGCCTACAATTCTGAATGGAAGTAGAATGCGTGCCGCATCCCACAAAGGGATTGATCAACGGCGAAGACTTTATCCTTTATCCTTTTTATTGAGCCTATGCTACACTTTAGCTCCCCTGCTAAAGGCCTATCAAGTTTAATCTTGACCGCCTTGATTCTGGTGAGTGGACTGAAAAGGAGACGGCATTCTATGGAGAACTGGGAAAAACTGGTGGGAAACTCCGCTGGGAAACCCCAGGGAGATGGTACGTGAAATAGATGGTCGTACTGAAACTGCCCCTTCACACATCACGATCTTGTAATCCGGCTGGGGAAGTTATTTTTATCTACCGCTACTCATTGGTGGGTCTCTCCAATGATGTAAAACGGGAGGGACAACGCCACACTCTAACCAACTCCACCCATTTGATCAGAGCAAAATGTACCTCAATCGAACCAGTCAGCACAGCTCACACTTCTTCACCTTTCGAAGACTTTTTCTGTGAATTAGATGCGACTTGACTGTATTTCCTTATGCACGATTCGAGTCGGAGGTGATGTAGTTGCAAGTAGCACCCTTATCACGCATAAATCTGGGAATCAAATCCCGGATGGTATCAGGCCCTCGCCAACTGAGCCCTTTGCCCACCAAAGACGGCAAATTGGTAACAGATTCGTCTGTGAGGATAAGAAAACTGATCTGTACGTTGGCTGGCTCTCGCTAGTCATTGCATGGGCTCCGTTACGTTCAATAAGCCACTATAATCCTGAATGGAATGGCCGTTAGCTCCTCATAGTCGAAGTCGTGCTAAATAGCGTCAAAAGCCAATCTACCTAATGGCTATTTGTTGGCATAGGTTGAAATGAAGAAG